CCCGGCTGCTTTTTTCCCCTGCCCCTTGGAGAGCCCCCAGAGCCTGTCAGGGCTGCTCCTGGGCCCCCCCCTCCCCGCAACTCACCATGGCTTGTTCAATCTTGTTGTCTATGGCGATCAGGCTGCTGTTGGTTCCACTGTGAGAAAGACAGGACAGGCGGATTAAGAGATGAAACCCCACCCTCGGTTCCCGCCTGGCCTCTCCACCACTGCCACGCGCCGCTTGCACAAGGTGGCCCCATCCCAACTCACCACCTTCTTCAGTGGCCCACGTGCAGCCCACGCCACTAATCCGTGAGGACCAACATACACGCACCCCGCCCCAAATAATAACTGCCTCTTTCTGCACAGCCCTGCAAAGCACCCTCAAAAGTGTCCAGAGAGCAAACGGTAGCAAGAGCGACTCCCGGACGGACCACAGCGCTGTGCCCTGGCCACAAAAAAGATGCACACCCGAGCTTAGCATAGGAAGGCTCGCACCTCCGGCGGCGTTATCTCTGTGTGGGCTCGGGAGCCATGAGTCATCCAACAGCAGCCCTCCTGGGGGCCCATGCTTTGAAAAGCCCAGGGTTTTGAAAACCGTGTGCAGAATTGCTGCTGCGGAAAGGAAGGCAGACGCAAGAGCCTGCTAGCTAAAGCACAGAACAGGCCACACGCTTCTCGGGATCCAGCTGTGTTTGTTTATGGGCAGCAGCAAAAGGTCTTTGCAGTTCAGGTTTGCTTGTGCAATGGCACCTCTGAGAATTCGCACTCAGACCCAAGAACTAGAGAAGAGCCTAGAGGAGGTTCCGTCTAGCCCCAAGGATCCGGCCAGTGTCCACCCTCCCCAGGCAGCCAGTCAGGCCATTTAAGGGGCGCTTTAGGTCAGCCACCGTTCTCCCACCACACCTGAGAGGATTCAGAAATCTCACGGGGTCTCTCCCATCAACAGGAGCTCACTGCCCTTTTAAGACTCACCCCCCCACACCCACAAACACACACTGAGCCACACTTTGCCCCCACCCACCCGCGGATTGATCCTCAAGATCCCCAAGAGTGGGATGCTCACTCCCAACACGCTTGCTCTGAGTGACCTTCTCTTGCCTCTCCCCCCCGTTTCCCTCCACTCCATCTTCTCTTCTCCATAGTGGACCCCCCCACAAACACACACAAACACACACACACACGGAGGGACATCGCTCTCTCTACCTGTGCAGGACAAGCAGGAGGGAGACCAGGGTCTTGTCCACCTCTTTCTTCCGGCCATTGGGCTTCCGGCAGGGTTGGGGGCCCTCTCGGGGCCCTCTGGGAGGAGGGCGGGCAGGGGACGGATCCCTGGAGAGGGCCGGGGAGGTGCAGCCGCGCTGCCGGGGGTGCCGAAGGTCCCCCACATTGGAGAGCAAGCCGCAACCGCAGCTCCGAGGCTCCCTCTGGGCCTCGAAAACGTTGACCATGGACTTGACCGAGACCCTTCCGTGGTGGTCCAGCGACATGAGGGATTTCTCCCCCCCCCCGGAGGCGGCAGCGGATTAAGGGTCCTTCCGGGTCACGTTTCCTCGTCCCTCGGCCTTTTCCCACAGGCGTTGGGCTCTTGGGTCCCTGCCTTCCACCGTCCTTTGGCACCGTGAACGTCCCAAGGCGGGATCCGGGGAACGGCCCTGCTCCGGGACCCCTTCCTGATGAACTCTTCCTCCTCCTCCTCCTCTTCTTCGTCGTCGTCGTCTCCCTTCTTCTGAGCTGACCAGCTTCCTCTCCCTGTCTCAGACCCTACCTGATGATCGGTCTCTGTTTTGTGCCCTGCGGGGGTCTTCCTCCCAGGCCCCAGAGGAGGAGGGGGAGGAGGACAACGGCGGCGGGGCAGGATCCGGGCCAGGGGAAGGCTGAGCTCCCGCATCCAGCCCCGGCAGACGAGGGAACGGGATGGGGCCGGGAGATGCCCACTGGTGGCGGGGGGGGAGGCAGCGCTCCCTGGCCCGGCATAAATAGCCATCTCTGTGCCCGCTTCTCGGCCCCCTCTCATTCACTCCCATTGGCCCAGGCCCCATGGGGAGGGTGCCAGCGAGGAGGGTGCCCATCTCTCTCTCTCTCTCTCTCTTCGCCCCCCCCGGCCAAGGGCAGCTGTTGTCACTCACAGGACCGGAGCCACACAAGGGACATCAGCTGCACCGGAAGGCTCCCGAGGGGTGCCTGGCTTCTCCACAAACACACACACATGCACACACCCACGCACAAACACAAAACAGTTTACCTCGCCCGGGCATAGATATTCAGCATGCACGGCTTGCACAGACAGACAGGCACCCACCTACACCCACGGGCCCCTGTCAGAGCATCCCCAGAGAGGGCGGGCAAGGGCAGAAGGCGGGAAGCAGCCGCGTCTCCTCGCGAGGAGGAGGAGGAGAGGCACCTCCAAGGCCCTTCCTCGCAACCTCTCTTTCACCCTTGCCTTGTTCTTGGCTCTGCTGTGGTGGAGAGAAAGGGAGGGGGGGGACACACAAAGGGGCCTTTATAAGCCTGCCATCCTCTGTTTATGCCAGTCTTGTTCAGGGAGGGGGGGAATAATGCCAGGGGGTGGGGATGTTTCCATGGAAACTGGGAACGGAGCCTGGACACATTACATAAGGTGGGGCGGTGGCTGGCTTAGTCGTGCCAGGGGACAGAAATCGCCCCTCCCCAAAAAAACTGCATCCAGTCCAACCCAAGGAGAAGGGGTGCGCGGGTGGGTGGGGCAGGAGGGACATCCATGTCCCAGGATTTTTTTTGGGGGGGGGAGCTCGGGAGTGAGGGGAACAGGCTGTCTTTGGAGAAATGGGGACGACCTGGGTGACACACACACACAAACACACACAGCCCGGGGACAGCTGGTTCCCGGAAGTTGTGGGATGAATCCCGCCTCCCGGGCTCTCCCAAAAGAAGGGAGACGGGCCCATCTTGGCAAAGGGGAGGAGGCTGCTGGCCGCCCAGGCAGGATCTAAGCAGCCCTCGGCACCTTCGTTTCCCACCCACCCAACAGGCAACACGCAGGCCCAAGTTCTTTCTCTCCCCCCCTCACCACCAATACTCTCCAGCTGACTTGCAGCCCCAAAAGGAAGCCCCATCCAGGTGCAGCGTTTGGAAAAGTTACTTTCTGGGACTACCACCCCCAGCGTTGACGGGGAAGATTCTGGCTGCGGTCGTCCAAACAAGCGACTCTCCCGTTTTGCCCTGGAGCACTGTTGGGGTTTTTGACAAGCACCCAGGGCGTCCCCTGCACTGCTTGGACACACCGGTCATGCGAACGCTCCTGGCTTTCCAAAGCTCACACTCACACTCACACACACGCACACACACACACACACTCCAAACTTTTCAGCTGAACCTGCGAACGCTCCTGGCTTTCCAAAGCTCAAACTCACACTCACACACACGCTCACACACACACACACGCACACACACTCCAAACTTTTCAGCTGAACTAAACCTTTCCACTTGTCATAGATGTCTCATGCTGCCCTGACCCCACCCGTCACAATGGAGAGTCAGTTATTTTGCCCCCCCCCCGAGGCAGAACTATCATGGACGGACGCCTCTACCTGTCCCGTGTGTGTGTGTGTGTGTGTGTGTGTGTGAAAGACAACCCTAATAAAGGAAATAAGGAACGTTTTGACACCCCCACGTTCAGCTCACTCTGCCTCCCTCTGACAGAGCTGCCCCCCCTCCTTCTTGGGCTCCCCCCCCCGCAAAGACCGCTCCTTGCAGGAAGGATTTTGGGGGCCAGCCGGCAGCTCAGGAAGGGGGTTTTCAACGGGAAGGCCTGGGGGGGGAGGGAGGGGGGAATAACAGGAAGGGGCTTTTCTTGAGTAGCAGGGGGATGAGCACTCCTTTCTTCCTGCTGGTGAAGTTTTATCGCTTTGAACGAGGCTGCTGCTTAATGACCGATTAACCTGTTCTTAGCCGGACCTGTTTCTCTTTCTTGAACCCTGTCCTGAAGGGCCTTGGGCTCCTCATACTGGGAGACAGGTGGGGTGTAAACGAATCAAACCAGTAACGAGCCAACCTGGATCCAAGCGATGGGCAAGAAATAACCACCGCTGTGAGCCCTCGCCTCTCTTCCTTGTTAGGGCAACCCTTCGCAGGGAAAAGGTCCCGCTCGATAACAGACCCGGTGGCCCTGCCTTTCCTGCAGATGCCTTTGGCGGGCGGGGGGGGGAGAGAGAATGCATGTCCTCCCCAAGGAAGGACCGTCGTAGCCAAGCCCTCTGTGGAACCCTGAAGCTGGCTGCTCTGAGAGGACCTGGGGGGCCCCCTTGCCCTTCCAGCTGCCAGGGCAGCCCCGAAACAGGGGGTGGGGTGGAGGGGGAGGCCTGCTGCCGGCCCCCCAGGGGTCACCACAGGCCTGGCACAGGGCGAGGCAAGGGCCAGTGGGGCTCTGAACCACGTGAGCCCGAGAACCAGCCCTGCTGGTTTGGCTGTGGGCAGGAGCGGCCCCTCCTTGGCCCGGGGCACCCATTTTGGAGCAGCTGGCAGGAAGAAAGGCGGAGGCGATGGGGTGGGTGGACGGCTGCTATTCCAGGCGCGTGCACACACGCGCACACACACACACACACACACAGTGCACACGCGCGTGCTCTCTCTCTCTCTCTTCCCCCTCCCCCCATCTGTGCACACGTGCCCGCTCTCTCTCTCTCTTCCCCCTCCCCCCATCCTGTGCCAAATTTCTCACTTCCTGGGGGAGGGCTCCGTGTGTTAAGCAATGCTGCCACCCCTGTGCCCCTCCTCCCAGAGAGCCACCCCCAATGTCCCCAGGCGACCTGACCCTGGTTGCCCTGCATAAACAGGGCTAAGAATAGCAAAGGACCCACCTCTCTCTCTCTCCCGCCCGCCCCCAAGAATGCAGTCCGCAGGTGGGTGGGTGCACCCGGTGGCTGGCTTGAGCCGGCCGGCCATCCTTGGTTCACTTCTCCGCTTCTGGCTGGCGCCTCCTGCCAGCTGCTCTTCTTTCTAAGGGTGCCGCCCCCAGGTCTCCCATGCCACTGCCCTTCCATGGCCTGCTCCCTCGCCCACCCCACAGGGAGTGGGCTCCCAGGCCCCCCTTTGCTCCTCTCCCCCCCCAAGACTTCAGAAGGCCCAGGGAGAAGCCAGGAAGGAGGGTCAGCTTGCCTTCAAGGTTCACCCGGCCCACCCACGGGTGAGAATGGCCAGAGGCTGAAGCCCCTGCTTTGCATAAGGAAATGCCCCTTTTGGCTCACAGGGGGGGGGGGAGAACGGGAAGCTCTGCCAGGCAGCCATCCTGGGAGGGGCACCACTTCCTCCTGCTCAGCCTCTTCTACCTGGCAGGAATGCTGCTGTGAGCCCATGGATGGGCGGAGGGGTGGCGGCGGCCTGTTTTTGCCTTGCCCTGAGGCCCCCAGGGGAGGGGAGGGTGGGACGGACCCTGCAATTAAAACCACAAACAGCCAAAGAAGGCAGGTGGTGGTGGTGGTGGGGAAACACCCAAAGGTGAACAGAGGGCAAGTGTGAAGATGGACAGCCCTACTGGGGCCGAGGGTGGGGCAGAAGCGCTCAAAGGCAGGCCTCCAGCCACGGCTCTCCCAAGGGACCCCGACTTTGCTCCCCCCCTCAAATGCCCCCCCCAAAACCACTGCGCTACGCCTCCACGTCCCTTTTCCTCCAGCTGAAAGGCTGCTCCCTTCTTCGCCCCTCCCTCCTCTCCCTTTGTCCATGACGGGCGCCAGAGGTTGGGGCAATGGACCAGAGGTGCCCCCTCAAGATCTACCCTTTCTCACAGAGAGAGAGAGAGAGACACAAACACACACACACACCATCCATCCAGAGCTGAGGCTGATGCCAGGACCAGCTCTGGGGGGTGATGCCCAGGCAAACGGGAGCACGAAGAGGTGGTGGAGGGCCTCCCCCACGCTGGGCGCTGCCCGCCTTCACAAGCGCAAGAGCCAGGAAGGTATTTTTTCGCCTCCCCGCCACCTCCGCCACCCCACCCCCACTTCTCGCGAGGTGGGGAAGCTTTGGCAGCCAGAGAGGGCCCTTGGGGGGGGCAGGGCTGGCAGAGGGTCACACCTGAAATAGATCTTCTCCCTCCCAGGGAGGGGCCTGGCAGCGCCCCAGAGCCCGGACAGAAATAGCCAAGAGGCAGAGAAGAACCCGCCGGCCTCAGGCTGGCTTGGGGAGGGGTCGGGGGGGGGGAACGGACTCTTTGGAGAACCACCTTTTAAAAGGCTGCTGAGGAAGAGGCTCCTCCTCCCAGGGC